AATATAATACAACATAAACGTAGAATATAGTAAAACAAAATGACAGCTGAAGTAACAGCAGAATATTTTGAGGACTTACATGTGATAGTTTTATGAATATTCTGTCAATCATCTGTAAACTCAGATTTCTTACTTTGACATGTGCTGACTTTTTCCCCCTAACATTAAGCTTCAACCAATATTAATGAAAAAAGGTAATAAGATTAATGATAAAGATGTTTTGTTTGCTTTACTTTTATGACACAAATAATTTATCAAAGTCTTCAAGAAATCCGCCTTATAGTCTCAGAAGTTATGGTTTCAATAGCAACTTAAAAAAACTTTATTTTTTTTCAAAACACACTTGGTATAGTAAGTATACACTATAATATGAATGACAGAGCCTTAGAAATCATGAGAATGGGCAAGCTGTAAATGCACAGTTGAGTTTTAGGTTACGCTGTTGACTGTGAATTCAGTTATAAGCTCCTGTGCTGTTTTTGCCAATTGTTTTTAATAGTAGGAAGATGGAATTGTAAGCTCTAGGAGCTCAGGGATAGGACTCCTAGAACTTAAATTGTTTGGTTTTCTCCTGTTTTCTCTTTATCACTTAAATACAGTGCTTGACAACTGGAAGATTACAGTTGTCAAGATTACAGTTGTCAATTACAATTCAATAAATAATTGTTGAATTGTAGTTTTTTAAACAAAAAAATCCAAATGATGTAATAATAGGCAAAGGGACATGTTTTATGTAGAGCCATCATATTTTTCTTCTGATTTGAATAGTACTGATTCAAAACAGTAAAACAGTAAGATTCTTTCTGATGTGAAGAGTGAGGCAAAGAACTAATCGAATCTTGAAATGAGCCAGCCCCCAGGTGCGCCTCCCAGTACGTGGAAGGCACTGTGCAGACACCGGTATAGAAGAGAACTGGCTGAAGGCAAGGTGTCCGTGCCTGCAGGCTAAGGAGGCTGACCCAAACTCAGCTACGAAACTGACCTTTATCATGTGCTGAGACATGTGTTCTTGAAGCTCAGAGTTATTTTTTATTCCTAAGGAGGTGTCATTTGAATAAAATAACATAAAGAAGCATTTCTGCCAATTATTTTGTGATTGAGATATTTGATGACATACTTAACAGAAGGACAAATTTGCCCAAGCACAAGACTATATCCTGGCATCTTTATCACTAAGGATATCTGTGCAGTATCATTTTTAGGTTTGTAACATAATAATTATCTTTTGTGTTCAGCAGTTTACAAATAATTAATCATAGAAATGGAATAGTATAGAGTTTATGAATATGGTCTTTGAGGTTAGATATGAATTCCAATAGTGGCATTTATTACTCATGTGGAAAGTTATTAAATTTTGTGAGCTTAGATTTCCATGTCTGTAAAAAAATATTACCTTCTTGTAAAAATATTAGATTAATTGATATAAGCTATGTAAAACACACAATAGATTAGATGATAGATAGATAGATAGATGATAGATAGATAGATAGATAGATAGATAGATAGATAGATAGATAGATAGATGATAGATGATAGATAGATAGATAGAT